TAAGTAAAACAAGCCCGGAATGAAGTTCAGAGAAACTCAGGAATCTGCAAAATAGATTACATTTATATATCTCTACTGGCAACCAGAAAATTACTGTTGGAGGGTTAATGAATAATACTACAAGGTACAATGAAAACCTATCTTCGCTTAAATTTTTTTCTCCAGAAATAAATTAGTCCTTGCATAGTATGTGTGGGCAATAGGTTCAATCAAATACAGGTATGCGCCGCTTTTCCATCTAAACTAAGACCTAACAGTTACTAAGTTCGATCAAATTTACCTCAGCTTCTGATATGTCTACATCTGTAGCTGTCAAAAATTTAGCTCAGCAAATCTAATTTCACTACTACTTTAGCATATTCAAAGATTGTTAATGCTTCAACTCACCACTTTTGCTCAGCTCTGCGTAACTTTATCACATCACTTTATTTAAGCAAAGCGTTGTGTTTACTTATTCGTGCTATTTTAGTGACTAAAATGTTAGGCTTATACGGATACGGCTTGATGCGTAGTTTATGCCAACGATTATTAAGCGTTCAAAATGGGCATTTGTGATATTTTGTGGATACCTGCTTTAAAATTAGTACCTTTGTGGCCGGTACAAAAAGAGGCTTGTCTAAGAGCAGTTGATGACAGGTCGCGATACCATAAGGAGCAGAAGGAAATTGTACTTCGATTGAATGCTTGTTCCCCATTGTCGATCTTTCAATTGATGAGTTGGAAGCTCTGACACTATTCATTAACAACACGATGACATTTTATGCGGTGCACAATTGAACCCTAGTTTGATGATGAAAGAGCATGTCACTTTTGCTTATTAAGCAAAATGCTTTCCTCATAACTAGGTTCTAGTTAGAATGAACTATTTTTGTTCTTCAAATGATCATTTTTTTAAATAATATTACAAGTGTACTAAAAACAACCAATGACAGAACTTTCGCTCAGTCCCTCCTACCCATTAAAACAAAAATTCGCATTGAGACGCAGACAACCCTTAATGCGCACTTTTGTTTGACGTTGTGCGCGTTGAGGGATACCGAGGGACCAATACTAGTCTGCTGCGGTTTTTTATGGCAGACGCTGTTTCGGCATTTCACTATGTAATCTGGCCTGATAGTGAAAGGTGTATCTCTTCGCAGTTTCTCTTTTTCTGACACCAAAACCCCCAATTCGTTGGTGTTGACGATTTTTACAATGGCTTTGTTTTTATTTTTGTGCCACCGACATCACCCAATGCATTCAATCAACATACAACATAAATATCATTGAAAAGTAATAATAATAATAATATGAAATACGGCATCGATTGTTTTATTCCTCTTTTCTCTTCCACCAGAGAAATGTTGAGGCTCTAGATTATCGTTTCCGATCGCCAATCAAAGTACAAAAGCCTCTTTTTAAAATTCATGTTCTAAACTACTTGAAACTTCATTCTACTCTTCCTTTGGACTTATAACAAACAGCCTGCACTTGAAAGTAGAATTTGAGCTTCATTTAAGACAAAAGTTTCTTGTAAAGAGGGTAGGTGAATGGCGAATTGAAAGCATAGCATTTACATGGATAATGGTGTAAAATATTGCTACGTTTACAGCAAGCACGTGGTAAACTTTGTTTTATTATGCCGCCAAAGATTTCTGTTGTCAAAAATTAAAACACTGTTGATCGTACTTTAGTGTAATAAACTGGCCTTCCCATTGATTTAAACGGGTAAGCCCAATATAACACTTTGGTGGGTCTTAGAATCCACTGTATTTAGCAATATTTTATCTTAATGATAAATTACCTACAAAGTTTTCAAAATAATACCGCATCCAAGTATCCAAATCATTTTATGCTTTAGTCAGCTTTAATTACTTTGAAAAACACTGTACTCTATAGCTGAGGCAGTAGAAGAATCGGGAATGAATTAAAGCATTGCTTGAACTTTTTAGCCAAAATTAGCAAAAACATCTTTTGTTCGACACACCTGAAGAGATCTGCAATTCAGTTTAAACAGAAAACCCAAAGTTCTCCAAAGTCATGATCAATTATTGTTAGAGTTTCACTAACACTATGGATTTCGACACAAAGTGAACGGTTCCATAAGCTGATAACTTACGAGGTTCATGATGGTAATAAACGCCATAGCTACCCGACTCCACACTGAGAAAGGGAAATTGGCAAAAGTCAACTATTATTTAGTTTGATTTCACTCCTTTGTATTTTCTGAGATCATTTTTAGATCAATGCGTCTAATGCCCCGAAAATCGCCCTAACTTGTACTCTATAAAGTGTGAAACAAATCACCATCTCACCCGCTTTTTCAAAGTCTACTCTTGTGCCGAATATTATAAACCGTCCGGTTAACAGCAGGCATAAACTAACTTAAAGCAAATATCAAGCATTGTCTCAGCTAATATCCAATTTACTATCTACAGCCTCGCAACATTGGTTGACTTTAACCTTCTAAAAGTACATACTTGCAGATTATTCTCCGAGGAAGTTTTATCAAAAGTAAAACTGCAAAGATTTTAATTTGCCAATACCTAGGCACAGCATAGCAAACTGTCCCTCAACACTTTGATAGCTGCAAGTGGTCACCACACAACCATGTGATTATTCGATTAACTGGTGATGCTTTTTTCCAATCATCGTTAATGAAACTGTATCTACACGGCCTTACTTAACTCAAACTCTTATTTACTAACGTAAATTAATGTGCCGAACCAACCTCAAATCGAACAATTGGCAAACCTAGGAGAGTAGTCGTCTACTCAGAGTTCAGCTTTCTAACTTACTTAATTGTGATGTAAGAATTTTCTCAAAAAATATCCACGTTCATTAAGGAGAAATGGGGCCTGGACGAAATGCGCTTCCCAATGTCTTCATCTATTACGCTGAGTGAATTTCTCACGAGTTGGGAATGTTTGGCTCGTTGAATTTAACAAAGGAAACCTGGGCATATTTTCAGCCCAAAGCGTAAAATATCAACGAAACTTACAGCAGTAGTAGACGTCAGCATTGGTCTAAAACTACTACTTCTCTTTTTTAATGAGAAAACATGTAATTTTGCACCAAATTCATCATTACTTTACCAAAATGAAAGCAAAGCAAATTAAACTACTTGCAATTATGAAGATTGTCGGAATATGGGTGCTTTCCCCGAAAACAGGCAGTCCGGGTAGGGAAATGGTTTGCCACGTTTAGGCCGTTAAAGTGGTAGATCTCGCTTTGCAGCCATGATCTCAAAAACTTTACCATGCCAAAAAACCCTCAATATCTTCGTATCCGGGACTTCACCATTTATTAAAACCCAGCTCTGGGTGTTTCATTAAAAAGGCGTACTTTTGAAGAAGCAGTCAGATTGCTGTCATAATGTCAGCCCTTTTGGCATGAGTCACTCGAAAGAAATAGTTAATGGAAGCCTCAAAAAATAATTCCTCGCCAAATAAAATTCGACTTGGCTAATTCACAATCCTCACCTCTGATTAGTCAATGCCACTTCCTGGTTAGCTGAAGTACTTACTTAACCGAATTTTGTCGTAGCCTTTGTGTTAGCCATAAAAACCATACACGGCTGCATTAGAGTACTCAGCAGTGAGACGGAAGATGTAGTAGTTTTCAGCTTGATAATACCGATATAATCAAAATGCCCCTCAGTACTACCCGATTCCCACCTCAAAAGCAAATAAAATTCTTCCGTAGCCTCCTTTTACGTATTCTCCTTTTAAGCTAACATCTGGTTTCGCCTCAAGAAACCATTTCAAACTATCATCTTAGCATCTGAGTCGGTCACAATGATACGAATCACTGATTCTAAGTAACTATTCAGTAATGGTAGCTCTCACGCACGTGGTCAAATACCCACGCTTTAATCCCAGGAATATCTTTACTTCTTAGGTGAGTTGATGACAATGACTTCCTGCAGCGTAAAAATGACTCACCCGAGCAACCAATCGAAAGCCCTCCCGATATTTGAAGTCTTCTAATACTTCAGTATCGCAACTTAATCACGGTCAAATTCACGTAACTATCTCTAGTCCCCCTTATTTTCACTGAGGCATGGCAAATGGCCTTCTTGAAGCAACTTGGGCACTCTCTTCTACTAAAAGTGATCGACGAATTAAAAACCGGTTCTCAACAGCCCTTCGTAAATAACAATTTCTGTAGATTCAACCGAGTACAAGCGTCCGAATCACAGATTTGCATTTTGGGTCCAGAAGTTTATTCTTGCCAAGCTCTCTTCCATGGATAAGTTAATTGGCTTGCGTTCTCACCGTGATAAGAAGTCACTGCTCCACACTGACTCTGGCCAATTTAAAGCAGTATCACAGATGCTCGATGATTCACAAATCTCAGTCTTTCTGAAATTCCAATAGGCACTAATAGGGGTTAATGTCAGAATCAGCTTTTGTAACATCAAAATCTAGTATAACTCAGTTGGAGGTCATAATTAAGTAATGGAAATTGCTCTAACTCATTGTTTCAGGAAAAGGGAGCAAGTCAGTAAAATTATGTCCATACATGTGATTTGTTTTCATTGATGCACCACTATGCGCGAAGAAAAAACAATAGAGGGTTATGATGTGGATAAATAGTTTCTCGAACTAGGGAAATAACTGCAGGCGCACAAAATCCATCGGGCAACCTAGTACTGATAGGTAAATAAGTAGGTGTATAAGCACAGATACCCAGAGACGTACAGCGGGGGAGAGGAATGCATAGCTCTGAGACAGGGAAACGCAATGGCAGGTGGGTGGAGTGGTAGTAGGGAGGGAGGGAACTCAAAAAACTGGAATATATATGAGCGAGCAGACCCATATAGCATAAAACATTTCTGTTATTAGCAGTGCCGTAAGATTGTGGAACATCTCGGTATGGAGGTGACGTCCATTGGTGTGGTGACATTGTTGATGTGTTGAAAAGTACACAGTAACAGTAGTACGTGAGATAAGGTGAATGTCCGTTTTGCAGATAAGGTGGAATAGCCGATGAAAACGGACAAGGTGTCACTTCGGCCCTCACTTTAGCAGTTTGCTCGCCTGCTCATTGGCCTTCTTTATGCGATCGGCGTTCGCCTTCGCCTAAAAACCATTCTCATTCTTGTCACATTCATGCATGCGATAATGCGAACCTCCATCCCCATCAATTGTACTTAAACTCGTCCCATTTTCTACTGCGCATAAATAATTTTCCTTAAATGACCCAATCCTAGAAAGACGGCGTCACATAAAATGCAAAACATATTGACTACTCATAAACACTGAATATAAGACAAGGGAGAGAGATGGCCGAACACAGCAAGGTTTAGTTACATACCGAGTAGTTTTTAGACTTTTGTGATACTGCAAAAAAGGTTGATATAAATCCCATGAGTGAGAGGTAACAAGCGGACGCACCTTCAAGTGGATGCGCTCGACCTGCGTGTTTTGCTGGGTGATTTCACTGCCCATATCGATGGCCATATTGCGCAGATTACCAATCATGCCTGCCACCTCCTGCATGTTCTGATCCATCTCGTCCTCTCGCGCATCGTTCGTTATCCTGTCAAACACACACACACACACACATGAGAACTACCATAGTCGACAATTTCAGCATTGGCTGCAGTCAAACCAATCATACTGAGCTGGCCACTATGCACACAGCCATTTTTAAGCCATGGCAAAATTGGATTCTTTATGGCAGGTATAGCCATGAAAGCTCTATTTTGATCTCCATGCCTACTTAGGATTTTATTAAATGCCGATTGTAGTCCAGGTAACGCCAAAACATTGCAAAATAAAGTTCTATCCTCGAGGCCATTAAAAAAGATCTTTTCACGTAACAAGGCCGATGCGTCAAAAAGACATAAGCTGAAATGGTATGTTTCGACCCAAGACTCGAAATGAGGAGATGTAATGAAGTGAGAACGCATAATCCAAGCAAACGCTAACCAACCATTATTGAGATATTTAAGAACAATACATTTTAACGTACTGAAATGAGACCGTAACTTAGTTGTTTAATTACAGTGTGAATTTTCCCCAAAAAGACGCACTTAGTTCAAACGATTGTTTTTATTTATCCCCTTTAACAGAAAGGTCAGGCATCCGGAAGAAAGAAATAGCTCAAAAAGCCACTAGCCACCTCAAATTCGTGTTTAGGAGGTAGGCATCATAGAGTAAAAAGATCATCAGACCTACCAGCCAAAAAGTGCTAAGGAAAATTAAAAAAGAACAAGGTGATGTGAATAATGATAGCTCCCCACAGGAAGTGCAATGGTACATGAAAAACCGCAACACCTAAGTAACTTGGTGGCAGGAAATCCCCGCCGTTAGCATGATAGTGAACTAGAGATCGATGAGTGGGAGCATGGGGAAACCCCATTCTTGCATCTTTCGCCAAAAATAAACAAAAAAAAGTTTCCGTAAATGGTGTTGGAAATCTAACATCAATTTCGAACAGACGAGATCAGTTCACAGATCTGCAGAAACCCACAAATTGAAAGATATGCCTTCTAAGACAATTTTTTGTGCAGTACATGACCTAATTGACATCATTAATTATTTAGCTAGGACATTTCTGGTAATGCACGTGACAAAACATTACCCGAAAAAATAAGTTTGATCAAGCTTAGGAATACACCATGAGCATAATATGATGGAACTCTAATCCACTCTCTGGCCGAAATAACGCTGAAAGATGGGATTTTGGAAGACGTTTTGTAAATGATATTTGCCTAGCATGTCATAAAAATGAATAACAAGATAGCAAAATAAGTTTTTTAGCCTACTCTATTTCATAGAACGGGGTAAAGCAAAATTTCAACATTCTAGAACAAATATATTTGTAAGTTGGATTAGCACTGTGAAGCACAGAGGAGGGAAAGAAAGCAGAAGGTTGAGAACAGTGCACCGTAAACAAATCAAATTCATTCAGTAGCACAGTGCGTACCAATTTGGTGCACACGGGGAAACTCGTATGTTCACCAAATTGTTTGATCATTGGTATTAATATCATCAGCATAGTATTCACGAGTGAACTCGATAGAATGCAATTAGGCACAGCATGGTCTGCATCAAGGAAACGCTTAGCTCTACTGTTTTTTCATGTGGCATTTCGGTGACAGGACGTAAGATGAGAGAAGACAACACCACAGCCACCTTTCACTAGTTCGGCGAGGAGAAAAAGGGAGCAGATTCAGTGACCGTTGGGACACGCCTACGCAGCCATTGCAACGAGACGGTAAGAGGTCGAGGTTAGCAAACAACTGCGCTCTATGCCTCGTATAGAGAGCAATTAAGAATGACACAAGAATTATACGCCTTACTTTTAGTTGTAACGGTAAGAGACTGATCTGAGCCTAAATTAATGCTTCCATTCATTGTAAGAAAAAATGAACATATCATCGCATGTGTACATAACCTATGTATATGTATATAATCTATATTTGAGCCTAGCGGTACAGTAATCAAACACTTTTTCTGACGTGAATTTTACAACTATCAATCCTTGTCGCTCAATTTAGAAAGTAGTAATTTCTTGCATTTGATGTGGAGTCCTAACTACTCAAGAAAAGCAAATCTCAATAATACTGGCAGGTTTTGAAAAAGAATAAAAAACCACCCAAGAGCGAATAATCGAATATATTCGCATTCATCAACAAAAGCGAGCCGCAAATATTCACTGTTCTCCTTGACGTTACAAGCTTTTCCATTAATTCGATTAAACGTCAGTTAAAGTTTTGAAGAACCTATCTGTACCAAAAGACTAAGCTGACAGTGATTACCTTGTTTAGACGACTTTGCAAGTAGAAACCGATAAGTATAGCAAGAAATAAGGTGACGTTCGTATAAAGTCGCAATAGCGGAAAAATGGATTTTTAGAAAATAAATTTATTGTTCTGTAAATAGTTTGTGTTAATTGAGTCACAGTAATTTTGTGCAAGAGGTATGAACAACGAAAGATATCAAAAAAACCTCAAATCTCCATATTCAACACTTTCTGGATTGTTTTAGATACCCACCTACTGCACTGCAGATGTGAACTAATAAACGAGCGGATGTAAATAGGAGCTATACCACTCACCTAGTGATATATCCTCCAGTCGGGCCCATCCCGTTCTGATCGACGATGATTCTCGGTCCATCCCCACCACCGAACCCATCCTCGTCCTTCAGCTGCTTTGCGAAGTCACTCTTACCTTTCCGTCTGCAAATGGGGTCCAAAGTATTGAAACCCGCCACAGCTTTGCCCAAGTCAGTAGCAGCCATTCATAAAAATTGGTAGCCAATAAAAAAGCATAAACTCTCGTGGGTACGCAATAAGTTCTCGAAGTATTAGAGTTTTGGCAGATCCCAAAAATAAAATCATATTACGAAACTTCTATGCATCCCAATTTGCATTCCGTTCCACAAAGGCGAAATCAAAAGAGATCAGCCAACAGCCCGTGGTTAATATGACTTGGTGAAATAATTTTGTGGTGATAGTAATCATTAAAATCACCGCAGTTCGGTGACGATTGCTAGGCGACTCTGATAAATGTTCAATACACAACACTGTTTTACCTTTTTCTCTCTCGAAGTGAAATTAAAGGTGTAGAAAGGGCTGAAATAACGTTGTTGTTGCCAAAGACAAGAGAGAACGCCATAATCTAATTACTGTTTGTCTAAAACTATCTCATTTCCTATTTAGGGAGATATGACGAGATATTATTAAAAAATAGAATTTAGAGCACGCATTCATTGATTCTTATAGAGCCTGAATTACGTAAAACGTGGCTTACTTGTTCCAGGGCAGCACACAAAGACCGCAGCATTTATTTAAATCATCCAAATTCTTTTCCGCGTCCTTCATATCCTCGTTAATCTGATCCATGCCCTCATTGATACGGTCCAGTTGCTCTAAAATAATTGAACGCCAAAAAAGCTAACTCCATCTCACTATCACACAGAAAGGCACAGGACAACACCTGAAGGATGGATTACAATAACTCCAATGTAGGGGGAAAATGGCAGGACCCACTTTTTCCTCGATAAATTGCTCGGAAAGTAGACGATGACAACACCTTCGCACAACGGATAAAGTTTGCTTACCGCCCTGGTCATCCAACATGACCAATGTAGAAATACCAGCCTCTTTTGCCTGTTTGTGATGAAATACACTAAATTATTGCTACAGCTTTTCGAGAACGAAATGGGTAGAATAGCGCGTTCTTATTGTGGTGACACTAAACTGACAAACGTTTGCGACCGTCCAACAACATGCCGCAGATATGGTGTCTCGCCAAGTCAAAAATCAAGCCTTATTCTTTGTTGTATTGTAGCATGAAATCGGCGTCAAACAGTCTGAGTTGACTCCTTTAAAAAGACCTCAGTAAATTAATAGTCATTCGGCATTTTTAACAACTGTTTAGCAACGAAAAGTCCAGATCCTGAAGTAAAACCTCTAAAATGGGTAGTACAAGAAGCACTTTCTTCATTCCAACAAGAAAAGACTGTAGCTTCAATATTAAGGCAAGATTTCAAAAAATGACGTTTATTTAGCGGAATGAAATCTGTTTGGCGTCCCGAAAACGAAGCAAAATCTAGGTGCACTGGAGCATACACCGGTCACATATCTAATAGTTATTCTTCTGGACTCTAAACAGACAACCAGGAGTCACTTTTATTATTTGCTAAACAACACTGAACAGTGAATTGTTAGCATCGCCTGGGAAAAACATAATTAAACTTCCTATTGCTCGCATACAACGCAGCGTCCTGCAGAGTATGCAATTACAAAAGGTTATCTCACATCGCGAACACAAATGCAATATTGACAAAGGGGGGTCATGAGAAGATACATGTACATAAAAAGGCAGGCCCGGCTGTCCATAGTAATTGACGGGTTTCGTTTTTTTAATGCAATTCTTACAACCATGAAATATCATTTTCTTCATATCGCGTGCAGCGCCGTAATTAAACGTCAGTTAGACCCTGCACAAGGCAAAACAGCCAAGTGTTGAAACTGATGGGAAATAGGAGTTTACAAAGTAGTTACTCTCGGTGTAGGAGGACTTCGAAGCACACTAGACTTGCATGAAATTGCAGTTTCAAAATTAGGGTCAAAAATGAGCAATTTGGTTATTATAGCAAAAAAGGATCATGGTTCGTTTAAGACCGACCAAAATCGTGCATTAAAGTCCAACTTCAAGAGAAGGTGGCACCTAGTTTTTGGAACAGTTAAAATAGTAAGATTAGGGGTTACTGAAAACAAATTAGCGTAACATATGTAAGGATGGGTTTAAATAAAGGTAGCAGTATCCATAAATTCGAAAAATCGTTTGGGGGGTAAAAGGGACAAAGGATTGTGTGAACTCGCGTTTTTGAGAAAACTTAGGACTCGATTTTGCAAGGAGGAGTCGACAAAGTACGTAAATTTGGTCCAGACACAAGGGCTTACCTCCTCGCACATTGCCATCATGCGCCGTGTAGCATCGAGAGACTAAAGTTCAAAAAATAACCGATTATTTGTCAAGTTTCGTTACGGTCCAGTGTCACCTCGGAAAATGTAAACTTGCCCACTATAAAAATTCGGATACGGAAATGTCAGGGCAGGCGAAAAAATACGTGGCTCAAAATGGTGTCTTAAAAATGGGTGAAGCGAAAGAATTGAAAGATGATTAGTAAGCATCGTGCACACAGACTCAAATTTATGAATTTCTGAAAAATTAGAAATTGTTCTATTCCAGAGATATTTTAAGTCAATCAGACTTAACTATACGCCCTAGCCAAAAAAAACCATCAATGACATATAATTAGACCAAGTTGCCGAATTTTCAAGGCTACGAAACCGCGTGTTTAAAAAAGTCCTTCAAAGCATTTCCAGGCATAAAATCAGTCCACTTCTGTGTTAGTTCCCACAAAAATGTTCTTTTCTCAGCTGAACTCAATTGATGAACTTTGTACGTGGGCATCACTAGATTCCTTTTAACTAGGCTCAGATCAGTTTAGTGGCGAGAGTAATTCAAAGGCTCCGTCCAGGCGGAGTTCGCACTTAGAGCAATTCACGAACGTAAGCGCATTACCAGACTTCCAGTCAGAGATTGGGTAGTGTCTCTACTGGCCAAAACAACACAGCGGCAATCGAATCAAACGGCGATGAGTCGGTAATTTTAAAGAGATGTTCTCCATTGGTTTATCTCTGAACATCAATGAGTGTAAGCGAAGCCCGCAAGAGCCTGTAAAAGCCTTCGATTTACAATGTGATGTACTGACGCAATATTAAATCCTCCCAGTACACCACAGAGCAAAAAAAGACAGGACTAGTTGTCTCCTCAAAGGACATAATTTATGTTTAAATAAAACAGAACTAATGTTGCTGTTTCCTGTTCTAAAATGCAATTAAAAACATGGTTGCAGAGAACGAACGGATAGCCCAATTCTCACGCCCTTTTTTCTCATAGACCCCAAAAATCAACTTGTTAGTTTTTTGATTTACGCTTTACACTGGGGAGAAAACACTTTTGCATAATGAAATTTAGCAGCAAGAGAATGTACCTACAGTCCGAAGTCGACCACTATTTGGAAAAAAGATTTCTCTCTCATCTTCAACCAAACTGCGAAAACTTTCGATTATCATAAAATCGAGTTAAGTCCACACGTAAGTACAGTGGGCACATAAGAGCTCGAGGATACCACTGTAATATGCCTTTTAAAATCCCAAATGCGTTTCTGAAACCGAATAAAATTAACCACTTCTATTTCCCAAATTTTAAAATTGCCTTATAACAACTTCCCTAACGTTATCTCCGGTAAAAGCGCCCCACCAATACGTCATGTAGACATTGATACAATGGCGTCTGGGGATGAAATGAACAGATTGACGGAGACGTAGGCGGAGTAAAAAAACTTGGGGGAGGGACCAGCTCTAAATCGGAGGCTGCCTCTAGCGTAATTGCGGGTTAAATAGTACCATTTCTGCTCGTTCTAGATGAAGCATTCCCTTTCAAAATACAAACACCGTCAAACCAAGGGCTAAAAAAGGGGAGAAAAGGTCACTTCTTACTAGAACAAAAATTCCTAAATTCGAATACAAGAATAAGGCGAAATAAATGTCTGAGCCTACAGAAACAGGACCGTTCATCAACTACGCTCTAAGCGATTGCAGACGCTTGCGCTCACACCCAGAGACAATAAACACATGGATGTAAAGTAGAGGCCACAAAGATTGAGCGAACAGTGATGGAGTAAAGATACACTGTAAGCTACAAAAGCGTTTGCGGTCTACTCAAACGATTCGTTCGCCAATGAAACCAAAAGGGCTGTTTGAAAAATGATGGCGATCACCGGAATTTCAAGACACCATGAGGAGTGGTTAGCAAAATCCTGCTTACCGTTGTATTCTAAAATAATTCGGGAAATGTCAAAAATTCCAAGGTGATTTTTTTTGGTATCACGAAAAATCAAGCCCAAGGTCTGAAGAATTTGGTATTAAATGTTTTGAAAATGCTTTAGGGTACAAATTGTAAGATTGGATTTGTCCAATTAAAAAGTATTCGAGTATTTCGACGCAACACATCTCTAATTGCACAGATAATTATTTCCTGCTACAAACAAATTGGAGTCCATTGAGTAAATGGTTATAAATGTGGGGGAAATAACCCATATTAACGCAACTTTGGGATACACAAAAGTAGCGCTGTAAGGTGAAATTCTTACGCATAGTATGGTCTGTGACTTGCAAGAAGTAAAGTATGGTTCCAACACTAATTCAAGAAACCTCAACCTCGAATTATACCTTTCATTTGAATTTCTACGAGTATGGGAGTGAGCAATGACAGCGATAAAATCTACTGAATACTTACTCGCTTGTTGATTTAACGGTAAGCTGTACCTAAATCTGGCGGTCCAGTTCTCTATTGGATAAAAGCCAGTACAAAAAATATTTCTGCAAAGGGAGAAAAAGTCGCAAACCAGCTTCGTTATAAAGCTACAACAAGAACAAGCTATTGTCCAATAGTTAGAGGAAGCAGTAAGTGTTAGCGCAAAGCTCAACAATAAGGACAAGTAATGAGGGTAAAAGCACAGAACGGCGCCTGGAAACAAGCATAAAACGACACTACCACTCAAATAAGGATTTAACCTACTTCAATGCTTCGTTACTCGTATCGAAAATTACCCTTCCTTTGTAAGGAGTACGCAACTCACCATTTCCTTTATTTATCAAAACAACAGCTGCTCGTTTACTTCTCGTTATTTATTCTTTATTCACATTTTCCATGGGAGAAGTAGGTAGGAAAGGGCTGTTGTAAATGTCGATCTGACAAACGGACTCAATTGCAAAAACTTTAACGATTCGGGCTAATGAACCGAAACAAGTAGAAAGGGAGTCATGATACCTCAAGTTTCTAGATAGGACCCAAAAAGGCACTTCGGGTATGACTTCAATTTTTTTCGGATATCAATTGTAGTTCAGAAAATAATAAATAAGTAAATAGGGTAAACGTAATGGATTTTCTTCGTATCCATTAAACACACACTTATGAGCAATACACTAAGGGGCGGATGCGTTCATACCTGAAATGACTAATATTCGCATAACATCCGCTGCAGAAGGCCATAGACGGAGGCACGTTACACGGGTGAGCGCTTTAGCTTTGTTGGGAAGTTGACACCACCCAAATTCAGATTATCTCCCAGGCCCATTCGTACCGGCCACAATTCAGCCAATTATTTCCATATATTTTGTGAAACTTCCAAAGCCCAGATGGACAAAAAGGTTATGTCAATGATCACAATCGATCAACTCCTCGTTGATACTGTCATCATTATAGATTTGCATCCATAACACAATGACGTGGCAAAAGGAGTAGAGAATCAATATTACCTACCATCGTCTCAAAGACCAAATGGGCCAAGTTTTCTGAGGAGTATGTCTTGAGACATGTTGATTCAACTACTAATATTAAGGGCAAAATATTTATAATTTTGAGCAAATCGAGGCAATTTTCGGTACCTATAACTTCGTGGGAGAGGGATAGTGTAACGCATGATCCCTCCAAATGATTTGCTTTATTTACAGGTGTAAAAGATGGGGTGTTACTTTCTCCCAACCAATGCCTAAATCACTTCAAGCATCATTGAAAACTTCCATTAAGGCCTAATCTCTTTTGAGAGACAGCCTGACTGTTGAAATGCACAAGTCTTTCAACATTTATATTTTACGGCCCTGCAATTTCATGCACATTAAATTGGTCTTTTTATGAAAGACTTATTTTTTCATGAGAATACTAAAACGATACCAAACTTACTCCAACAAAATTCGTCAACAATTGGATTTAACTAAAAAAACTACATTGCCTCCTTTTGCTAACAAAGATCTTTAAATACCATAGATTTAATTCTACTTCAACATTTTAAAGAATAAATAAAATGATCCAGGAAGAGCGGAGGGGTGATATTTGCCCATGAAGATACGGAAGGAAAAATTAACCAGAAAAACAGGTCGATGTGGCCAGTATGAAAAATCGTAAAAACCCAGCTGACCAAACAATGTCTTGGGTTTTCTTGACGTGTACCTAATTTGCTCCCAAGTAGTGAGCACTTGAAATGTGTCCGAGCGAAACATAGATTAGAACATAGACTTTGGCACTGCAACGGAACGGTAATAAATGTAATAAGCAATGTATTAATGTCATGATTAAAGGGTTCTTTAGTAGTAACATGCGTGAACCGAAGCCATGGAAACGTGAAAGGAAATAAAAATTAGGAAAAATAGGCATGACAAGCTAATGCTGAGAAGTCGTTGTAATGTACATAAAATGAGACACGGTAAATAACCAAGAGTGTTTATGGTTCATAAAACTTCTAGAAAGTGATAAAAGAGAATGGTTGCGAAACCAAATCTAACCTCTTCCGTGGCATCATCAATCCGCCTATCAAGCAATTCTACCTCAGTCATAATCCTCACAGTCCCATCTTCCATCCGAATCTCATCAGGGCCACAGGGCCTAAGGCGATCAGATATTGAATTCTTTTCCCCTCGGTTTCCAAACATTTTAGTAGTAGACTTGTAACTTTACGGAAATTCTTCTTTGGGTATAATACATACAAATGAAAAGACGGATGAAGGAACGGGTTCTTTTCTCAATTCGTGCCAAAATCTTCTATAAACCGAGAATAATCCATTTTGCTAAGTCCTTCAGCAGTATGGCACCGACGACCAACATCTGGCTTGGTAGCATGAAAAATGCCCAGTTTACTCCGCACGCTCATTTCTAATTGGTTAGCAAAAAAACATCTATTCAACCAATCTACCAATGAAATGGTTGTACGGAGAGTACTCCAAAGAACTGAGCCATTTGCTTTTCTGGCCAATAAAAAACCTTTTGCATATAGGGCATGACTAAACAACACATAATCATACATTCTTCTAGCCGTAGCAACTCACCTCGTCCGTAACGGCATTCATTTTATACTTGATCTGGTCAAGTTCAGTCATCTGCGCAGGGGGTTCGTCCATTGCCGTTGACTGCTCGAAGCTTAAAAATGCGTAGGAACTGTCAATCAATGGTGCTTTCTTTTAATCACCTATTCGCTATTATGGTTCTCACTTCTTAATTTCTATGCTGGGTAAATGATGCGTTTGAATTTGGAGTTGTGAGGCAATAAATAAAAACGTGAAGACAGTGAATGCAAAGTAAACTTTACTAGTAAAAAGTCATTATTATATTTTTGTGCCAAGCCTTAAATGTGAGTCGCAGCCTTGGTTATTCACAGTAATCGAAAACTGTTATCTGCTAACCAAGTCTAAAAAAATTATATTATGAACACATATCACTGATGCTACTGGACTGGGGCATAAAACGTAAGTTAAGCTCATTGAAAAGTTGAATATCATGAGAGAACCTGTTGGAAAAGAACAACAGGAATTTACCAAAATCCATCGAACTTTCAAGACCCTCCAAAATAACTTTTGTTGCTACGCTACTTGCGAAAAAGCATGGGCTTTCCATCCAATCAGAAGCACATAATCAGATTCGACGCAGACCACACAGTGGATCATATAGTTTCAAGAATACTAGATTAATGAATCCAGTACTGCAAATAAGAAAACAAGAAGACCCCCGCATAGTTCTCAAGAAATCAAAAATGGCCAACAAGGTCCTGACCCGACATCTGATTTGATGGCCTCAATAAATTGCACAAAGAACTACAAGCACCAAAAGAATTAGCATGATCACCCCCCTTCTGAATTGCTAAAGTGCTAAGTTGAGCTATGGTTCAATTAAAAGGGTACAGTTTGTTAGAAAGTCCTAGGTGGTAAGTCGTTGGTGTGTTGCATTAAGTAATTCCAAATAAAAACTCAAAGATAATGCATTACTTGTATGGGAAATATACCAAAGCTTACTCCCACATGATAAGTTCTGACTAAACAGTTCACTATGGGCCACTTAAATGTAGAAAATCATTGCTAGGTTACACCATGTGTCACTGTGGAAGTCGTATACAAAGGTTAGTCAAATTTTGGTTAGAAAGCAGTTTACAGTGATCACTAATTAGGCAGGTCAGATGACCACTAAAAAAACAGGACAACAAGCGCAGACCCACCTACCCGAATAGTGTCGAAAACCCCAGAGTATGGGTGCAGGTCAAGTCATCTTAGCCCGGTAAAACAATTGAAACATATCTAAATATTTGCTAGTATCATTGTCCTTTGGTGCGACAAAAATAATTATTCATCATGCTTGACTGTAATTAGCCTTAAACCTGCGCATTGTAATGTATTGTTTAGATAAAAATTTTAATTTATACACACTATTGCTACACAGTGACATTGTGTCTAGAAACCGTACCATATAATTGCTTATTGCCTGGCTCAAATCAACCAAAATACATAGTATTGACACGCGAAGCAGCAATATTTCCTTTACAAAATCAAATTTTTAGGTTATTCTACAGGTTATAATAATTAATAATAAATGCACTATGCTAAGTGTAGCACGACCCCCAATCATTTTTTCTTTCCATAATTTTATATTCTTAAAAAGAAGTGCTAATTAGACTTGGACATATTTATAGGCTGGCGTCAAAGGGGATGGATAGAGGCCTAGGGAGACCGAGACTCGGCTCTCCTCTGGCTCGGGGGATGCTGACTACTCCTCGAACATGAGGTTCGAGTTCACCCCACACTTCTCCTCTAGAAGTTTCATATGAGTAGTGTAAATATTGCACAGCTGACTTTTAAACGTGAAGGTGTTTTAGCGCTGTTTTTCACCCTGATTTTGATAATAACACAGACCTTGTTTAAGACGAT